CGCAGACGAAGAGCGGCAGGTCTCCGAGCGGCGACGCGAGATCCACGACGTCCTCGACGACGGGCACCCGCAGCCGCTCGCACTGCTCCGCCGCCTCGACCGCGCTCGCGTGGATCCCCGCTCCGAGCGCCGCGAGCGACGCCCGCTCGACGCGCTCCGTCTTCACGGGCGCGAGCCGCGTCGCGCCCAGCTCCACGGCCTTCTCGATGAGCAGCGACGTCCGCTTCTTCCGCAGGGGCGCGAAGTAGAGGTCGAGACGCGGCGTCTCGTCGCCCGGCGGCGGCCGCGTCTGGACCGCGGCCGCGACCGTCGTGCCCCGGCGCGTCGTCGTTTCCACGGCGCACGCCCACTCGCCCATGGCCGCGCCGAAGCAGCGCAGGGCGTCGCCCTCGCGCAGGCGCATGACCGTGGCCACGTAGCGGTGCTGCGCCGGCGACAGCTCCCAGACGCTCGCCGCGTCCGCCGTGCGGTCGTCGCCGAGCCAGAGCCGCGGCGCGTTGGTGTGTGGTGCTGGCGCGAGCGCGACGGCGACGGTGCAGCACCAGGCGGCTGCGAGGGCGCGCCGAGGCAATGCCATAACTCAGGGTTGAAAGTCAACAAACCTTCAACGCCGCAGCATGTCTCGTTGACGTGGCTGGTATGGAGGCAGCTGGCTCCATCTGAGGCAGCCATCTGAAGCAGCCCCAATTCCTCGTCGCGGTCGAAACCTGACAGAGAAGAAGCCCAAGCTGCATGGACCTCCGAGTCGAAATCATCACCGCCGCAGCCCGGTGCGACATCGATGGGCTGGCGAACCTCCTCGACGGCCGCCGCGTCGAGGAGGACGCGCCCGCGCCCGCGGCGAAGCGCGGTTATCTGCAAAAGTTCCGCACCGGCGACACCGCCAGGAAGCGCTACTGCGCGCTCGAACACACGACCTTCAGCTACCGCGACAAGGAGAGCGGCTCGAAGCCCTCCCTCTCCGTCCGATTACGGGGCGACGGCGTCGCGACGGCGTCCGTGCGGCGCGAACACGGCCTCGGCTTCGAGCTCGCGTCTCCCGCGCTCGTCTCGGCGCGGAACACGCAGGGCCTCCTCCACTTCGTCGCGGACGATGAAGCGGACCTCGTGGGCTGGCTCGACGCGTTCCGCCGCGCGCTGCGGCCGCCGACGGTCGACGTCGACGCGCGCGGCGCGGCGCTGCGCGCGGCGGTGTCCGAGGACGGCACGGCGCTCCACGAGCTCGCGCTGCTCGACCACGACGATCCGCTCCTGCTGGCGACGGCGGCCTGGCTCTGCGCCTTCGGCG